CCGCAGTTACTACTTTTGCTTGGGTATTTTTGTATTTGATGAATTTTGCTTTCTATATTGTAATCACAGCTTTTATCTATCTGGCACATTTTTTTTTTTTATAGATAGGTCCGACAAATGACTCCACCCCACCTGATGTTAAGTGAAGGTGAAGTCCAGACGTGACGATAGCTGATACAGCAGTTTTACCTGCCACACCAGCCATCTTCACCCTACCGGCCTGCATGTTGCTTCTTCACGCCTCTTTTAAAGGATCCCAGGTTGTAAGAGGGAGAGAACACGTGAGCGGGCAGAGCATTCCATTTACGGATAGTGCGACAAAGAAATGAGTCACCAAATTTCTTTGTACGCGTTGGAATTGTGGCCACAGTTAGACGATGACAACGTAGGCCAGCGCGCGTGGTCCTCTGAAGGAAAGGAGAAGGTGGGATAAGAGAAAATAACTCCTCAGAACACTCGCCGTGGTACAGACGATAGAACGCGCTTAGTGACGCCACGTCACGGCGTAATTGAAGAGGCTCAAGGTGTTTAGTCACCTCCTCATCGCCTATGATGCGGATCACGCGTCGCTGTAACCTATCCAAAGCATCGAGCAAGTACTTGGCGGAGCCATCCCAGAGGTGCGAGCAATATTCCACGCAGGACCGCACTTGCGTTTTGTACAACAAGCACAGTTGATCGGGCGTGAAAAAACGCCGCACCTTGTTCAGGATTCCGAGTTTGCGTGAAGCTGTTTTGATCACGGTTTCGATGTAGTTCTTTGGATTCAGGTCTGAGCGAACTTCCATACCGAGCATGGAAATGTTGCTCTGCAGCGGTAGTGTTATGCCCTGAAGAGATGGAAGGGGAAGGATGACGATGTTTTTGCCGTGAAAGCGCAAGCCTGAGTTTTCTTGGCATTGAACTCAACCAAGTTCCTGGTACCCCATTCGGAAATGTGGTCCAAAGCCTGATTGAGTTCAATGACAAGATTCTCGCGTTTCTCCTTGGTTACCGCCAGCCCAGCCGCTGCTTGTCCGAGATACCCCGCATGCACTGTACTATCGTCTGCATAGCAATGAATATTCCCAAGAGGAATTAAGTCATTGATATGCAGCAGAAAGAGAGTGGGGGATAGGACGGAGCCCTGGGGAACGCCGGCATTCACTGACATGAACCGCGAACTGCTACCATCCGTAAGGACATGAATTCTACGCTCATGCAGGAAGTCAGCCACCCAAGAACAGAACTGGGCTGGCAGACCGTATGCCGGAAGCTTGGAGAGAAGGCTTTTGTGCCATACCCTGTCGAACGCCTTGGCAATGTCAAGGCTGATAGCCAACGACTCGCCACGCTTGTCGATAGCCTCACCCCAGATATGAGTTAAGTACGCTAGAAGATCACCCGTCGATCGTTTCGGTCTAAAACCATATTGACGATCATTAATCAAGGAGTGATCCTCTAGGTAGCGGGTCAGATGGTTATTAAAAACCTTTTCTAAAACTTTACATAAAACTGAAGTGACTGCTATTGGCCGGTAGTTTGCCGGGTCTGAGCGATCCCCTTTTTGGGCACCGGTTGCACATTAGCATCTCTCCAAGTCTCCGGCACAAGCCCCAAAGAATACGAGCATTGGTACAAGCGCGTGAGCACGGGAGACAACTCCGCTGCACATTTTTTAAGTACTACTGCTGGGATGCCATCAGGTCCACTAGCTTTCCGGACGTCGAGCGATTTCAATTCGGCACGAACCTCGCGCTGCCTGATTTTAATATCAGGCATCGTTGTGCCACAGTGAGGTAATGATGGTGGCAGTGCATTGCAATCATCGATTCGGGAGTTAGCCGCAAAGAGTTTTGCCAGTAAATCGGCTTTCTCCTGCGGCTTATGGGCTAGTGTTCCGTCTGGGCATCTCAGAGGTGGCAGCAAGGGCTCGCAGAAGTTTTTTTGCACGGCCTTGGCCAGACGCCAGTAGCTACGGGAGCCCGTAGGATGCGTCATAAGTTCCTGGCCAACACGTGCAACGCGTTGGGCATCCGCTCTAATGTAAGCCTTCTTACAGGCCTTGGAAGCCAAATTGTAGGCTGCTTTGAGTAAATCGACCTCGGGATCCTTGAGAGCGCGACCTCTGATCCAAGCACGATATGCCGCTTGCTTACGCAAAGCAACTTCAGCACAGTCGTGATTGAACCAGAGGTTACGCGTGCCCTTACTGATGAGATCAGAATGAGGAATATAGTATTCCATACCCATTATAATCTCCTCAGTAATGGCAACGGCACTGGCCGATAGGTCCCTGTCACTGAAGCAGCGCTGCTTCCAGGGGACGGACGCAAAGTAGTCACGCATACCGTCCCAATCTGCCGACCCATAATGCCAGATACGGCGCTTGACCACTGCTGGACGCGGAGGCTTGGCCTGTGGTGCTTTGGCAGATATCAGACAGTGGTCTGACGAGCCCAGGGGGGCTCTTACCACAACCTGATAGCCCTGTGGATGGGTCGTGAGCAGAAGGTCCAGTAAAGAAGGCGCTTGACTTGGAATATCTGGGATCCTGGTGGGCTGATCAACCAGTTGCTTCAAGTCATGCGTGAGAGTGAATGCGTGAGCAGAGATCCCTGCATGGTCAGTTTTGGAAGAACTTAACCACAAATTGTGGTGAGCATTAAAGTCCCCCAAAAACACCGATTCTGCATTGAGAAATTGTTCCTGCGCGTCATCTGCTGCCCGACTAAGGTGCTCAAAAAGTCGAGTTGTCTCAACATCGCCGGTGTGGGACCTGTAGAGACACACGTAAACTCTGGCCAGGGGGCCAGAGTCGACGTGTACCCCCAGCATGGAGAAGGAGGGATCTTCCATATTATATATGCGTTGGGTTTTGGACATGAATAATTGCTCTAACTACCCCCAAATAAATAATATGCCGGATTTATGAAAAAAATATTCATTAATAAGTAAATATGAAGAAAACACTAAGTAACGTAACTTTCTGTCTAATCGATTACCAGTCACCACAGTGAGGCTCTTTGACAGTTCTTTTAAAAGGGAACGAGCTCTTGGACCCCATGGGCTTATAGTCTCAACCCCAAACGGCACAATAAGGTAGTTCTCATTGAGAGCTGAATATTTGCGCCGCTTCGAGCACTCGGCAGAGGCCGCCGCCGCTCCTGCAGCTAGGGGAGGTACTACCTATGTGGCACGGAGCGAGCGTATCCACGCAAGTCCCACAGAAGAGGACGGCCCTGCTTCCAAGGAATGAGCATCATACCGTCAGGTCTCTTGCCATCGTCGCGAAAGATTTCGTTACGCTCAAGGGCCGCGTCGTCAATAGTCGTCATTATAACGTCATTGATGCAGGCGTGGTGGGAGACTCGGCCAGCGCTCTTTATTTAGCTAGAAACCATGGTGTCCGAACTCATCGACGCGAGTACCGCAACGACGAGTTTCAATTCCACGGGTATTTTATATATTTCACAAATCATTCTTGCGGCTCGGACACGTCTCGATAAATACAGCTGAATTGGCGTCTTTCAATGAACAACCAAAGCTAGAAATTGAATCATACGAGCCCAAAGGCGGTGGCATTATTTATAACGGCCACCTTTCCGCTGCATGATCAGACCCTGAATATCATCTAGAGATAATGTGCTCGTAATGACGAATGAAACGAGCCCTTACTTGATGGAGTTGCGTCGTATTGTTACAGAGTTCCTAACGCCATCTTCTAGCTCCATCATCAGATCTGCTACATAATACCATATTATTGCATTGTCATCAGACTTACATAAGTATCCCAAATATCAGCTGGATCGGATAACAAGAAATGGTTGAAAAAACTGATTACTTTTGAAACTACATACATACGAACGTTGCAAGTTAAATAGAAGCTTGTAAAAAGACATATTATCAGCGGAAATCGATAAGGTTTATCACACTATAGAGATCTTATAGTGCTAAGTGCGAAGCAACTCGCTTAGTGATGAAGCACAGTGACTTATTGGTCACGGTAAGCTAAATTGCAAGCGACTCCTAGCTTGTCTTTGTCTTTGACATTGGCAGCTACAGCGCGTCATATCCTTAGGACTATTTAATAATTTTCCATTTTGTTGTTTTTATACTTTTCTATAACATACAATATTACCGAAAAACACTTTTATCATAATTATCAATATTGTTTGTTTGCGGAAACTTAAACTTATTAGTTTGTGTTACCCCACCCATCTGTGTACTGATAACATTGTATTACACTGATAAAAAAAAACACTGCAAAAACGATCTTTTTGGAGTAATCTTTTCACAAAGTAGAAAAATTGGACATAATATAACAATTCTTAACAAGATAAGGTTATTCATTTTATATTCGACTCACTTTTAAGCTTTTATAAAAATCGGAAGATTCTCAAGCAGTGGTAACTTCCAATAAGATTAGTTTCATTAATATTTTTACGTTGGTTACGGTATTACTATATCCATTTAATCAAATATCTCAAATGTTTATAGGTCGTAAGTGCTTACAGTAGATCGATAAAACCGGAATTTATTATTTTTTCTGACAGTCACCATATGTTAATACTTATGTAGCGTTGGTGATTGAACAACTGCCATGTTGAAGGTCACTGTGGCTAATTATAGGATTAGCGAGCATGACGATATAGCTCTCTTAGTATTCATCACATATTTTTTAAACTAATACAATATTATTATTTCCTTACTAAAAATAAAAAATGGGCCTGATTCTAGCATCCTTCACTATACTGACACCTATATATTTAACAACAGTTTATCCGAGTTTATCTATCCCTAACATGGTCATTATAGAATGAATAGGACATACCGTTATCAAATTCAATTTAAATTTTGAGAATCGTGTTAAGTCAGGACCTCCGGTCAGTTTCATTTCTTACCTACCGCCTGTCTAGACATCCAACTGGGTGGCTACTTTAACCAAATGGCGGTGACATGAAGTTACTGTAAATGTGAAGGTACTTTTAAAATATTCGAAATTTATTATTATTATTCGAACTTTATTATTATAACTAAACTGGGTATAAAAAATACTCAGAGATATAGTGCATGATTGGAAATATTTATTTTAATATCACAATTTTTGCTTATTTAAACTAGCTTAGAATCAAAGATATTTTAATAGTAGTGATTTGAAGTAATGTTTCAAATGAAGCAGTATAATTATTAATAACAAAATATTTCATACGATCTATATACTTGAAGTTGATTCAATCACTGACATCACTTAAATTAGTAGGCTCTTAAGACATGCCGTTGAAGCACAATAAAAATAACAAAATTATTTCATGCCATTCTGAACGATTTCCCCTAACATCTTGGCTCCCTTTTCGTTGTGTTTCTTACTATACAGTTGACTCTCAAAATACTTTATCCATGCGGTTATTTTAGGGTATCTGAAAAAAAAAACAAGAATTGAAAAATACACCGACGCATTATATATAAAAAATACAAAATAATTAAAACACTTGGTTCGTATTACAATCACAAAAAATGCCTGTGACCCGCAGTAACTACATTATTAGGAAATAATAAAAAGTGACGGTATTTAGATTTTATTCATGATGACAAACTCTTAACGCAGACGACAGACTTTTGTCCGCGGAGGACTGTTGTCGTGTGTCCGCTTATGAAAAAAAATGTCCGCCGTGGACCTTTCACGGACTCAACGCACACGACACGGTGTGCGGACATTTGTTGCTCGGAAATTTAGTTATGACTACGCTATAGAAGCAATATTCTGAGATTAAATAATATAAAGTTTAAGAAGAAGAGAAGATGTTCTAAATGAGAACACTGGGTCCATCCCTTTATATCGGATTTCATTCGGCAAGCTATTGTCTGCTTCGTTTGGCCAATATACGCACTACCACAGCTACAGTCGGTCTTATATACACCATGTTTCTCCAAGGGGAAGTTGTCTTTGGGAGATCGTAGAACCAGAGATACTTTTTGCAAAGGAAATGAAAGAACACATAAAAGCAGTCAGAAACAATTATACGAAAAAAATCAGTTATCGCGGTACATTTAATTGATTCGGGTCTTAATCACTGGATTGAGCTCCATAATCCACCAATTATCTTGACAGAACGCCAGTACATACTAAGATTGGTCAGAGAAGCAATTGAAATAACTAAACACAAAAAAATCAATCGTGAGGATGGGTTTAAATTGTCAAGTGTCTGGAATCCAGTGGTTCGTATGTGCAAAAACCGCAAAAATCAAAAAGTGTCGTTCCACGATCTGATACTGTGAGTATTGTGTGTCGGGAACAGGTGCGAGTGAATAGTGAGAACGTGACCAGTGGTAGGGATTTCGACCGCAGTAAAAGACGACGTAAGAGGGTAGACCGATATGTCTGCCAATAACATCTACCCACAATCACTTCAGTTACTCCGTGATCCTGGCGCTTGCAACAGTGCCGAAATATCGGAGACTCATAAAAAACAAGGTAACCAACTATCCCGTTAATAGCTATAATATTTAAAAAACAATGTTAGTGACCTTGAAAGTTTAAACAATATATACAATATTTTTATTCAAAGTAACTTAGTAAAAATAAAACATGAATTAAAGCGAGATGAAACAACAATAGGGTATTTGACAAGTTTTAGAAAACGATCTCACGTTATTTACTAATGTCTATAGAGTCCATAAAATATTCATCATTATGTTGTGTATTTCGGTAAAAAAAAAAACAAATCAAAAACTCTATTTTCATGTTGCCGCGAAAAACGTATCTCTGGACAATATGGCGTCTCACTGGTGTGTGACGTCACACGACTGACATTAAAACGTCAAACCATATAATCAAATGTCACTTTAACCGGAAGTTTACTTGCGTGTGATGTCATTTTAGGCTCCACCAATCCCAAGCGTTTTGGGTCACGTGACAATAGACAAGGAAACTATTATATTTATCGTGGGTTTTTAGTAAAATCATGAATATTTTTTCTGTAAAAATAGTAAAAACTCATGCCAATATTTATTCTTAATACAGATGCTTAAAAATGGCACTTTATTTTTAATACTGTCAAATATCCTATTAGCACAATCTATTATCAGTGCTGACAGTTAATTTTGTATGAAATCACATTACCGTACTACAGCGTGGTCTTAAATTGAGATAATTTTTGATATACTGCACCGTTTCGAATGAAATAAAGACTAAATGTTACCCATATATACACTCTATGAACATATTATCAATGCATTGCATTTAATTCAGCAGTTTTGGTTTGATGCGTGAACAAACATAAAGACAAAACGACAGACAAACAGACAAAAGTTCCAAAAATTATAGATATGTGTTCTATTACTTATTCTAAGTCCTCCAAATTACTTTTTTGCAAAAATATTCAATATACAGACACACGAGGCTTTCATTTTTAATATATATATATATCTATCCAAGTAATAGATGACTGATGGAATTGGCTGACGGTTGCATGAGCATATAATGGGCGCCTTAAATATTTACCTTGCAGAGTCAATCGGCACTATGTACATTAGACCACAGACTGATGGAAACGCTGCGATATCAGCAATAGTGATATTGTCACCAGCTAGGTATTTAGTCTTCTCTAAAAATGTTTCCATGAAGTCGTATACTTCTTTTATGGACTCTAAATGCTGCTGCTGTACTCCTCTTCCTCCCATAAAAATAGGGGTCTGCAAATGTATATAATATAATAAATCCGTCTGTTACCTGGTCCGCGTGGATTTCTTTCTAGTTATATTTTATTTAGATTAAAACAAGCAGTTACATGCTTAAAAATTATAACTATATAATAATACATTCAGTTAAATTGCTTTGTTTCGCTTTTACACTTTGCTTTTTTGTGTTACCCTTCTCTTTCAGTAATCATAATCGCAGACTTAGTAAATTTTGGCATCGCGTCCCTAACCACCAACACCAGTCCTCCAAGCTATGAGCCACCCTGTGGGCCCGATGTGAATTTGTTGGTGCTAACGATTGCAGATCCAGCTTGGATCAGTGATTAAGCATGCTTTCTGCTTTCTGAAGTTGGAACATTTTAAAATAGAAATGTTTTGGTTACATGTAACTTTTAATGATCGAGACTATACGCAATAACTATTGCTTTATCGAGCTCCTAAATTTTGCGACTTTCAGGCAATATGTCAATTTTCTCCCATACCTGCGCGACGAAGCTATTACTGTAGCTAAGGGGTTCAATTGTTAAAATACATATTTACCGTCACATTCCGCATTCTCGGGAAGAGATATGCGTTATTGAAAAACAATTTCTGGTTAACGAGGGCTCTTCCCTTTGGGTCCTTCGGGTAGAGACTCTTATCTTTGCCGTACATTTCTGACAGATATATCAAAATGGCATGACTGAAAATAAAATGTATCTTTAAAAATGTTAGGAAGTTTATATTTAAAGAAGGAAATTAAGGATTGAGGGAAACAAAATTAAGGAGCAGCCTTAAGAATAGTTTCATTCAACACTCACTCTATTCAATCAACATTCAAAACATTCGTGGTGCAACTGTCTTTATTAAGTTACGGTTAAGGAATTACCAGCAAGTTTAAAGTACCAACCTGTCGTGTAGAATAGTACCGTCATCATCCATAGCGGGTACAGTGTGCAACGGATTAATCTGCAAAAATAGCAGTCCTATATTGTATCAAAACAATGATACATTATAAATAATGTGTATTCTTCTGCTATATTAAACATGTCTTTAAAGTAGTGCCAGTAAGTTTATAAATATTATATCATATTACTGAATTTGCGGGGAATTATTAATCCTTTATAAGTTTTCAGTAATAGGATCGATTGAAAGTATGAATTTCATATTTATCAATAAAATCTTGTTAAAGAGCAAGATACTCCTGTCCGCTTGGGGACTGGTAACTATATTCATCAAAATCTTTATAAATTACTAGCTGACCCAGCGAACTTCGTACCGCCCTAAAAAAATAGGGGTTGTCCAGCGGACAAAATTGTGAATCTAAACCATTCTCAGATCCCCTTGAACACACACAAAAAAATTCATCAAAATCGGTCCAGTCGTTTAAGAGAAGTTCAGTGACATACACACTCACAGAAGAATTATATATATAAAGATTTATGTTTAAAGAAGCCTTGATCTCGCAATGGACATGGGCTAAATGGAATCATTTTCATGTTATCAATTATTACAGATAAAATATAAAACAAATAATTTTTATTTTACTTCGATAATAAAAGTAGGTGTTTAAAAAGTTAAACACCGTTTGTTTTGCGGGCTCTCGGTCAAAGGCCCCAAGCCATCATCGTATTCGACCAGTGCCTCGCACATTAGGAGTACAATAAAGAAATTTAATAATAATAACTAAATCATAGTTTAATGCCTTTGAAGTTCAATGATTTCCATGTTCATTTCTTGGGAATAAAAAGGGGGGTATAACGGGGGCCATTTTTACGAATCATGCATACCTTCAGAAATTCCGGCTTAAGGTGATCTCCAGTTCTCAACTCAATGTCTATCAATTCTAAGGGTATATTATATATTTCACAAATCATCCATACAGCACGGACAGGCGGACTCGCCTCCAATGAATACAGCTTGATCGGCATCTGTCAATAAACAAACAAAGCTTGAACTCAGCTAAAATTTAAGTTGAAATGAGACGATACCTTCATAATATAGGGTTCAGGTAATCAGGATATCAATGGATTTTTATAGCAACTTAAGTACTTAATCAAAAGTTTTATTAATATTATACTAGTGTTCGCCCGCGACCTCGCCCCACATCTTTGGTTTTATAAGAAACAGGTTGTTTTTGTTTAGTACATGTGAATGATAAATGACAGATTAGAAATAAAAACAAAAACAAATGCAGTAATTTCGTAGTTCCATCTTCGAAAGCCTCCCTTTTTCAAATTTGATTTTTTATGATATAACTTCACAATAACTAAGAAGTTTTATATCTTCATTTAAGGAGTATTTAATTGTCTATTAATTAGAATTTATTTCATTAAGCATTCTAAGTTTGCGAGATTTTTAGGATTCTTTAAGTGATCCGGATTAATTGCTCTCGAGTGTACTATGGCTCACTACGAAACTAAAATCGATTTAAAAACAAACATGTATTACGAGCAATGATTTTTTTTTTAATTTTATTTATTGTTTTAAGGGACTTTTTGGCCAAATTATCCACACCAGCCTCTTCCGACAGGGAGTTGGCTAGGATGCCTTGCAATATGCCAGTCTTAAACCTATTAATTTTAAGAATGGAGAACGCAAGTCTCCCTTCCCCTTCATTTTTAACGCATTCCATTAATATGTGTTGAACATCCTCCACTTTTTCACATACTCCACAATTAGGTAAATTGAATTCTAAAAAAAATTTAGAAGAAATAAGAATTTATTAAGCGGAATATGTCGAGAACAAAGTCGGTGCATACGAGCAATGGTGCTTAAAATTTATTTTCAACATTGTCTCAACCAGGAATTGAGCCCTGAGCTGAGACTGAGTCCAATTTACTCGTATTTCGGCCATAGAAGTCACCACATACACAAAATTACAATTTATTATATTATTATATTTATATATTAATTTAATATATAAATATAATACGACGCATCAGTTTACTGATAACATTGTATGACAATGCATATTATATTGTATATTTGGAATCAATTTTCGTAAAGTAGAAAATCGAAAATAATATCACAATTCATCACGAAATAGGTATGGACTCACCGTCAAGTAACGGCTTAGATCACTTATGTATATGAAATTAAGAAGATATCCAAGCCAATAAATGTTATAAAATTACTAACTGTTCCAGCAAACTTCGTACCGCCATAAAAAATAGGGTAGAAGGGTGAAAAGTTAGAGTTGTATGTATTTTTGTATGATGTAGATATCATAAAAAATAAAAACAAAATATGGGTATGAAAAATAGATGTTGTCTGATTCTCAGACCTACTAAATATGCATATAAAATTTCACGAAAATCGGTCGAGCCGTTTCGGAGTAGTTCAATTACGCACACCGTGACACGAGAATTTTATAAATTAGATATTACGGACTTGCTATATCCATACAAATGGACCAGACTGACGTTGTCCTGTCCAAAAATACTAAGCAGCACAACCATCGGCTAGAATAGTGAGTAAAGTTTTCGTAAGAAACTCCCTCCAAATACTTATTGTATAACTTTAAAAAAATGGTTCTAATTAGTAAAGTCATTCTCAAGTTACGGCGTGACTAGAGGAAATAGCTATTCACGTTTATAAATAGAGATAAGCAAATGTTTATAGATCGTAGGTACTTACAGTTGACCGGTGTATACAAAGCAGAATTTACTGATTTATTTAATTTGTCAGTCACCACACATGTACATATGAATCGTTGGCGATTCGGCAACTGCCACGGTTAAGGTCATTGTGGTTATATATAGGATTATCTGGTTAGATGATAAGCTGTCTCCAACCGCGCACGTAGATATGAAGAAGTTTTGTATTAAAGAAAACACTAACACAATATTTGATAACTGAAAATAAATAGGAAAAACAAAGGGTCTGATTCTTGTATGATTCTCATTAATAGTTTGATGATCACAGATTTTTTAATACCTTCGACTGCAAAGAAACCAGTTCTCCTGCTGGTACTATCGCGGAATTTTGCGCTCTGTCACTTGGCGAACAAAATACTTTGAACGGTTTTCTACAGTAGTTTTTACTACGCCCCGCCTTCGCGTCGGACGCGCCAATCCGGGTCGCCGCACAAAAGTAAGACAGAGAGCATTTCATTGTTGAATAATGAATTGAATTGCATTTGTTTTAGTTGCAATTTGTCATCCGCATCGTGATCGCGACAGCGCTATACGAAAAAGTAAGACAGCGATAACTACATGTCTATGAATGAATTTTTACTGTGCCGCTACCGCAAGCGATTATGGCATTATGGGTGACAGAGCGGGTCCTTCCGCGAGTGTACCTCGGTTTTATCAAAACCTATAAAACTTTCACCTATCTAAGTTATAACTACAGAAAGTGAGTTTCATAATGATTAAAATGAGTGTAATTTTATTTTTAAGTATGGAAAACTTACTGTTTAATGAAGCAAGATACACAATGTTAACGAATTGCTAATTTTTAATAGAGTTGTGATTAATGTCCTATTTTATAAAATGAAGATCATTTTCTCTGGTTTTGTCCATAGTTTTCTCAGATGTGTGTTTCCTTGCTACTTTTTTCCTACCTATAGGGAATATGCATGTTTTTTTATATTTTTATGAGTAGTCTACATTATTTATACAGTATAAAAAATGAAAGTAAAAAATGTTAAAAATAGTCACTTTGCACGAGCAGTTTAAACGCGCGTTATCTTCTTGGATGTGACGTCACGATACATTAAACCTACAAACAATATCAATGACCTAACAAGATACTCACATTTTGTGTTCCATACCTTCACTGCGAATGGAAGTTGAAACCTACGTCAGCCAAATAGGCATAATGTTTCATATATTTTTGGTAAAAATTTAGATGTCATAGTGAAAAATTGCACGCGGTGTCTAGGTGGAACGCAGCTTTGACATCTACGCACTCGCACAATAATCTCGTTGATATTGGCATATCTTGTGAACATCACGTTTGTTTGTTGTTGGGTTTACGTCAAAACCGCTCTCATTGCGTTTCAAATATTTGAATTTCCCACAAGTTTTTCGCACTTTTATATCATTAATTTCTTGCTCGAAAAGAAATTTTATTAACAAATATTGATGGAGGGACAGCTTAAAAGTAATGGAGTTTATAAATAAAAATAAATTGAAGCTTATTTGAATTACATGAAGCGACTCTTCTTTGGGAAACTTTTAATAAAAACTTGAGTAATTCATAAATTTTAATAAATTTCTGTTCATTTTTATCATCATAAAACGCACTTTCTGAGTTTGAGAGTTGTTAGTTTTACACTTTTAAATCAAATCAAAGTTTCGAGGTAGCAAGTTAACTTTATTGGCTGTCCAGTGTAACAATAGGAATTACATTGGAAAGGGCCATAAAAAATATTTGAATTATTTGACCATCAGAAAGGATAACTTATAAGTTAGGAAGAAACGTAAGATATTAAGATACTAGAAAAAGTACAACTCTGTCCGTGTTCGTACGTTAACTATATTTTGTTGAGAATCCGACAGGAATCTAACATTTTTCTGGGATAAAAAGTATGGTATTAATATCGTATCGTCATCATCGTATAATCTCAATCCAGGTAGGTAATCAATTATATGTGATTGAGTAACAATCAAACAAATATACAAACTTTCGCATTTATAATATTATTAGTGGGATAGTAAAAGTAGATAGAGCACGACGAGCTTACCACCTGCTCTAAACAAGTCCGCGTACTGTCGAATAAAACAACGTACCTAGCTATTCCACTTACCGAATAACTCGCATATAAGATAAAACCAGCAGTATAGCCTCCAGCCGATCGGGTGCATGCCCCCTTTAATAGAAGTTCCCCTGCGTTTGCATACAGCATTGTATTAGACGCTGTTATAAAGTTTGATAGCTTCGCTCTGTACGCAAGCCTGGCGCTCCAACTTGGACGTTAGCGACGCAATCTAGTGAACAATTCCACGTCTGCACTGACTGGATTCCTACTGGCCCTCTAGGAATAACTTTTTTTATACACACAATATTATTATTAGCAGTGAATTGCTTTTATACGTGAAACGCGGAATTATTGATAAGCCTAAGCTAATCCATAAAAATCATTAAGGGCCACTTACACCAAAATTCTTAACGTAAATTAAAGCTTCATCATGTCTCACAGATTGTTTAAAGGCAGATAGAGGTACAATGAGACTTAAACATGATTAGCTTTCAATTTTGATCTAATAACTTTGGTACAAGTGGGCCTAAGTTTCAAAAACAATAGTATAAGAAACAAGTATTATTTTTTCGATGCCACGAGCGTGATGATCTGAAATCTGACTAAGTTGAAATGGAAGCAAAATTAACTATAAAGATAGTGAATGGTAAAGATCATATAATTTTGACAATGATTTTCAATAACAATGATATCATAGCAACTAGACTTCATCATATTAGTAATAGTCGAAGTTAGCGGTCACCAATACTCACTCAAGCAGTATTACTATTCGGTTAACTTTTTCCAAATCGTGTAAAGCACAAATTCCCTCAGGAACAAAATTGCTAACACTCCTTAAAAAGAACTATTGAACCCTGAGTGTCGTTAATAGAGTTCTTTATCGGTTTCGTCTGAAAGCAGAACGAACAAACTGTCTTATTTACTTAGGGCAAGGCGAGCGTGAAAGTTGCTCCAGTTGTAGTAAACACCGTTTGGAGATGGGGCTAAAACAAAGAATTAAAGAAAACAACTGAGTGATCCCATAAGGGTTCCGTTTTTAACCGAATTCAAAAAGGAGGAGGTTCTCAATTTGGTTGGTATGTTGTTTTAGGGTTCCGTACGAAAAATGGTAAAAATGGAACCTTAATGCCGTGACTCTGTCGTCTGCTTACTACAGAACTATAATTTTGGTGTTTTATGTAAATGCTTGCCCAAAGCCGAATATTCAGTTAAAATTCAATTATATTTTTTTCCCATAAATGAAAAGGGGACGAAAATATATTTTTTTCTTTCTTTTAACCCCAGCATATGTTACACCTATGTCTAGAGATTGTTGAGTAGGATATAAATATAAATTTTATTACTTTTTATTTTCAAAACCAAATAAGTAAGGGGCCGGCAAAGTAGTCATTTTACACCATTTTTGTTACGGGGTAACATCGTGTCAAATCTTAACTACTTAGTTGGGAATGTGATATTTTTGTATATGATGTCCCATATGCTGTATGGGTTAACCCAGATAAACCTTCTGTCCTATATTTAGGACGGTAAAATTAAATATCATGTCTTAATACTTGATTAAGTGGGGCTTCGGCAATAAATGATAAAGAGGATACTTTAAGGCATTGTATTAAAAATATAAAATACAGTTATTTTGTTTTGTTTTGTTTTTTAAGTATTTCATTGTAAAATGTATAATAATTGTCAATTGTAAACAGACCCTGAACAGGCATCAGGCATAACAAAAACATCGTTATTTATATTGCATATACTTATATATTTTTTTATTAGGTAAATAACCTCATGTTTTGAAGATATAACTAGGGTATACAAATTTTGTGATATATGTATTCAAAACTACAGAAAACTAATTCTTAAGGTTATTACAAATTAACAGCACTTCATTCATTGGCTTCCCTTGAGCTTCACTAGATCGTTGGTCCACCTGGTGGGGGGCCTGCCTACTGAGAATCATCCAGTGCGTGGTCATCATTCGAGAACCTTTCCGCCCCAACGGCCATCGGTTCTTCGTGCTACGTACTCGCCCATTGCCAATCTAGTCAGAGGATTTTCTCATTTCTGATTCGTATTGCGCAGAGAAATACACTCTCTCCATTGCTCGTTGTATGACCCTGAGCTTTCTTATGAAATCCGCTGTAAACGACCACGTTACAAGCAAACATCAAAGGAAAGTTGATTTGCTATGGATTCGAGGCCTGAATCTTAGATATGTTCCGTAAATAGAGAACAAGGTGCCACAATTAAACAAGTCAACTTTGATCTGAAGTGTAAAGACTATTGCAAAAGCCTGGTGCAAACATTGACCAGGAACACTTCGTGCGTAAGTTCGACTCGCGCTTGGCCGGTTTTTTGAAACTTGTTTATGCGCGATGAGGGTAACTTTTCAAGGCCGCATCACGATTTGAGTGTCAGAATTTAGCGCGAGGATTTTAAATTTTATAGGACGGATAGATGTAAACAATTATAGAGAAAGCATAAGCATGCATATCAAGGCCGTTATCCCAAACCATACTGCACTGTAGATATATGAACAGCGCCATCTGTTTAAAAAACTCACACACCATGTACGTATATGTACGTACCTATTCTAACTAAATATCAGATTAACTTTGTTAAAGTTTTACGTTTTTTAAATTATGTAACTATGTTAATATATATTTTTATAATTTTATTATGAAAGTTTGTTTCACTTCTGAGATGCGTACTCTGTACCCAAGTAAGCCCCTTCACTCTCTAAAAGCTGAACTATTATTAGCTTGAAAAATCAGGAAAGATTCATGATATTTAGTGCTTTTCATGAATTTCAAAGGAAAATTAGATGGTCAAGATAGATTTGTTTGTTTCAAAGTAATAGTCGTTCAACTTATGTATTAGAATTTTTTTCCCTAATAAAAATTGTTAAGAAAAAAACATTAAAAATGACTAAGATGGAGTAATTGCTTGTTTAAAACGCGTAAAACTTTGCAACAAAAAACAAATCATAGAAAATCTAAAAAGAGCTATTTAAAAATCACAATAAAATATCTACGGAA